GACTGCGAGTGACGTCCCACCTGAGGGACAAACAAACTTCTGAGATTAATATCGTATTATGAATATAGTTAGTATTGTAAGTAATTACCGCACTCATTCATAACTAAATAAATAAAATAAGAGAAAACATGACAGTATAAGTGGCTTGATGTTCAGCGCAATAATAATATCAACGTCTAACTCTGTGTAAAACGACTGTAAAACGACTGATGACGCCTCTTCTGTGTTGATTAATGAGACGTCTTGTCCCCAACGGAAATATTCATTTCTTGCAGCTCCAGGCTGCACCCCCATGTCCATCAGTCTAAACAGGGATATGGAATCATGTATTTTGTCGTGCTCCTCGGTACGGTAAGTACAGCTCATGGCATTGATAACATCACTTCTGACAAGTACTGGGCCAGCCATAGCAACTGCAGTGTCAGCAAGATAGTCTGCACTCTCGTATCCTTGAACACACGCATTATCTGGCACAAAGATGAAGGTTAGGGCAGATATTCGTGAAGTGCTTAGTGTTTCAATCCATTCTTGCCTGATAAATCGAGATCGGATTTTTTTAAAGCACATTCATTTAATTATACTTCTTGCACAGTATGCGCACACCAAATAATCCTCAATAGAAGAAACACAACAGATACACAAGACTACATATCAAATTCTTTAAACTGCCAACAAACAGATAAGCAGGCCGTCTTGTCTAGAAAGTATGTCGTGAAATATTTGAACTGAAAGCAACGTGGCGGACAGGGAAGATGGGGGAGTTCTGCAGTTGGCGTTGTCTAGAGTTGTTTCATACATCGATGTTTTTACTTTACGCACACTCACTCCCAGTTTGTGTCAGCGCGTCAGTAGATGCGAGGATTGACTTCGGGTTTTATCCTATACGGCTCAGTCTCTCTCCGCAGAACAGCTAGCTGTATCGCAAGGATCCACGGGGATCTCTGCGAACAATTGCACTAAACTGCGCCGCCGGGAAACGAACCCACGACTTTCAGAGCGCAAGGCAAACCGCAATCAGTAGATTATTTTGAACTAGCGATTACAAACAGGGTGGGGTGGGGGTTGGGGGGGGGGGTTAAAGGCAGACATATAGGCCAGCAGATACACAAACAGGGACATAAATATAAGCAGACTGAAAAGGGTGAAGACAGGGATGCTTCGAGTAGAGTGACAGGCTCCACTGGAAAGGTCACGGGTAGTGAGCATGCTTTGGATCTTTTCTCCAGGCTATTCAGGAGTAGTGGGGAATGAATAGGCAGACAGATTGGCTGGATCTGCAACACTGGGTGGTTAATTGATACATGACAAGGTAGATGTGGTCAAGGCTCTTTGGGAGCAAGCAACGGAAGCAGTAGAAAAAGAAGATAATTATGGCCTGGGGAGAAGGAGGCACAGTGTGTAACCAGAGGGTCTGGCCGGCTCACTACACTAAGGGGAAAGGCAAGACGGACATTTAACCAGATTGTGACCGGTACCATCAGTATTGGAACTCTGCGCTGGCTGCTGAAGATGAGGACAGAGCGTGCATGGGAATACCCTGAGAGCTGTGATGTCAATTCTTGACTCAGCTAAACTCAACTTCATAATTTGTTTCTTCAATTTCTTGTTCTTGTTTTTTAATAAAGTTTGTGTGTGTGTATTTAGAACAGTTCCTGCTATCCAAAACTCGACATGTGTATTTGAAAACGAATAGTAATGAAGTTTGTTAAAGGTTCCAGCCAATCACCAACATTGTTGTGGTCACGTGAAACCACTCGTGTGAGCTACGTACACTCAAGTACCTCTTCATTTATCCAAGTAACAACGGACACAAACATAAGCCAAGCGAAAACTTTCCAATGTAATGTTAGGACATACGTCAGTTATGTGATGTTTAAAGTCTTGTGTGTTTAGCCATACAAGCCGACACATTTAACATTTCCTGTATTTTTGAGACAGTCGAACAAGTTTAACGTCTCGTGTGTTTAACCAGATAATCGAGCATGTTTAGCGTTTCGTGTGTTTAACCAGATAATCAAACAGGCTTAATTTTCGTGTGTTTAACCAGACAATCAAACAGGCTTAAAGTTTCGTGTGTTTAACCAGATAATGAAACAGGCTTAATTTTCGCGTGTTTAACCAGACAATCAAACAGGCTTAAAGTTTCGTGTGTTTAACCAGAAAATCAAACAGGCTTAACGTTTGGTGTGTTCAACCTGACAATTGAACACATTTAACGACCGGTGTGTGTAACCAGACAACTGAACACATTTAACGACCGGTGTGTGTAACCAGACAACTGAACACATTTAACGACCGGTGTGTGTAACCAGACAATTGAACACATTTAACGATTGGTATGTGTAACCAGACAATTGAACACATTTAACGACTGGTATGTGTAACTAGACAATCGAACTCATTTAACGACTGGTGTGTGTAACCAGACAATTGAACACATTTAATGACTGGTGTGTCTAACCAGACAATCAAACAGGCTTAACTTTTCGTGTGTTTAACCAGACAACCGAACGCATTTAACGGTTTGTGTGTGTAACTAGACAAACGAACACATTAGACAGTCTGTTAATTAGCCAGGTAGTCGAACAAGTTCGCAGTTTTGTGTACTGGCGATCACAAACGCCAAAGTAGAAGTCTCTGTATGTTCATGCAAGCAGACGAGAAGCAGGATACTCAAACATCTGCAACGGATACGTCTGCTGTGAACGCGGGAGGACACAAACGCGCACTGGTCCAAGCAATGGGGATCGACCATTTGTTCGTTGACAGGACTCACTTTGTTATACTCTACAAACATGGATGTGAGATTAACGTCCAGGATTTCACAGACTCCGACCCAGGATCCACGGTCGGGAGTTACTTGATTAACAATAAGGTGAGTTTGTGAGTAAAGTCTTTTTTACAGTACGTCCTTTGGTTCTAGTATCGAAGTCGGGCCCAGCCACACACTAGCTGACCTTTCATTCATGCTAGCTCAGGCTGGTCTACGTTTAAGGGGTGTCATGGTGTACTGTTTTCTTCGCAAAGCTTTCTGCATTGCGTGTAAATCGTTGTTCTGTGAGCAGCCGCCACCGAATGTGATTTTCACTCGTAAGCAGAAAAGTGTTGCTTCCACGGGTCGTACGCCGCACTCTGTCATGGGACACAGGCTGAGGTTGTTGGCTAGGGGGTTTGTGTTAGGGCCAGTTTAACACTTGATGTACAAACTGCTCATGAAAACAGAAACGTCCCTGACTTTTCGTGTTATACGTAGGTTTAAGAAATATGTTATTTATAATTATAATGAAAATAAAAGTTAAAATAGCGAATTACTACAAGTACAAGTCATCTAATTTTCAAAAAATGCTTGTCACCCACCTTCCCCTGCTTTTGATTTGCAACAGCAAAAAAATCGTCACTTTCTAATTTTGACGATTTCGGTTACAATTGTGACTAGGTTATGTGCTATAAAAAATGTCGTGGCTTTGTACGGAACCAAAAGCCCTAAAAAGGGCTTCTGCAGTGTTTAGGCAGTCAAAGGAGGTAGACCCAAATGTTTTTTCGAACAGTGTCGAAGTCGTCTACCGACAGGCCAGTGGGTGACCTGGTTGCCGATGTGAGTGACACTTTTTTGGAATTTCCATACTCGTTCCTAAATAATAACACCACATTTGTGTGTGTGTGTGGAAATTTCATTTATCTGGGAAATAAGGTGTTAAAATTCTAGAAAAGAAGTAACAACGGTGTAGTTAGAAATAAACAAAAATTCAAGATTGTCTAATCTGCTCGTTTGTCTAGTTAAACACGCCAGCTGTTAAATGTGATCGTCTCTCAAAGAAAGGATTTCAGCGATAAGAGAATACACTAGACCACATAACCATCGATAAGTACGCTTTATTCCGCAGTAAGGCGCCTTCGTCAGTTGGATTCCTGGCATGGTAACTATAGCGTTAGCTGTTTATGTTGTCTTGTGGGTCCTCGTATCTCTCTGCTTCTTTCTATGAGTGCTGATCAGTTCTTGTTTGTGTGTTATAATACCAACATTCTAATCCTTGCTATTATCTAAGTTCATCTGAAATTGACATTTCCCACTAGTACCCGACATCACTCGACACTGAATTCTCCCCACTAGCACCTACTATTACTCGAGACTGAATTCTCTCCACTAGCACCTACTATTACTCGAAACTGAATTCTCCCCACTAGCATCTACCATCACTCGACACTGAATTCTCCCCACTAGCACCTACTATCACTCGACACTGAATTCTCTCCACTAGCACCTAATATCACTCAAAACTGAAATCTCCCCACTAGCACCTACTATCACTCAAAACTGAAATCTCCCCACTAGCACCCACAATCACTTGACACTGAATTCTCCCCACTAGCACCTACTATCACTTGACACTGAATTCTCTCCTCTAGTACCTACTATCCCTTGACACTAAATTACCCCCACTAGCACCTACTATCACTCGACACTGAATTCTCCCCCCTAGCACCTACTATCACTCGACACTAAATTCTCCCCACTAGCACCTATTATTACTCGAAACTGAATTCTCTCCACTAGCACCTAGTATCACTCGACTCTAAATTCTCCCCACTACAACCTACTATCACTTGACAGTGAATCCCCTCCCCCCCCCCCCCCCCCCCAGCACCTACTATCACTTGACACAGAATTCTCCCCACTAGCACCTACAATCACTCGACACTGAATTCTCCCCACTAGCACCTACTATCACTCAAAACTGAAATCTCCCTACTAGTACCTACTATCACTCAAAACTGAAATCTCCCCACTAGCACCTACAATCACTTGACACTGAATTCTCCCCACTAGCACCTACTATCACTTGACACTGAATTCTCCCCTATAGTACCTACTATCCCTTGACACTAAATTACCCCCCCCCCCAGCACCTACTATCACTCGACACTGAAATCTCCCCCCAAGCACCTACTATCACTCGACACTGAATTCTTCCCACTAGCACCTACTATTACTCGACACT